TCTAGTATTTATGCGTACGAACCTCGGGCATTCCATAAATTTACAAGAGCTTTTGAGCTTGAAAAATAAAAAGTTTGTAGATAAGGAAATGAGAGAGAAGACATTGCAGAGAATTTTTGAGAATAATCTCCAAAATCTTCAAGTATCAAGTGTTCAAGGTTGACAAAAGGAGATAAATTTTCTAAAAGAAAGTAAGATTTAATTATACATAATCTAGTAAGATTATTTGCTTTCTTTGTAATCGCATTTGGAATAGTATGTTTCCAATTAAGTTCATGGACATCATTACTAGGAGAAATTGTATTAATTGTATTAATAGTATTAATTGTATTCGAAATGGTAACATCAGATAAATTTCTTTGCATCTTAATTAGATCCGCCATCGGTAAAGCCAAAGCTGGTATCGCATTGTTATTATAATAAATCAAAATTTTGTTGATTTCATTACTCTTATGGGTAGAAATATTTGGAGGATTCAATGCTATGGTGAGATCAACGAACATATCTAGTTCTTGACTACAAGTAAAAGATTTCAGAGTGGAAAGACATGCATGGGCTTCAGGCATTTGATTAATTACTTTTAAAAAAGGATAAGAAAGAAGGTTTCCGGATTTTAAGACAAGTTCAAAAAAGCAACAAGATTTTGTAAAAAACTCTTTAAATAGTTCATGACCAATAAGAGGAATTATTTTCTGTTCATCAGTATAAGCGAAGACCCAAGAAGTAATGTCATCTTCCAATGATTCAAGATTGATAGATCTTAAAAATATGGCATAATCAAATGTTTTGGAAGAAAGTCGTGGTATTGTTACTCCATTTTTAGTAAGTAAGTCGAGAGAATCTTGTGGTAAGCGAGCAAGATAAGCAGTGATATAATTAAATCTTAAATTTAAAAAACTTTTCCAAATTCCAGACCAAGGTTTTCGCCATAATATTGGAATAGAATTTTGACACCACTCACGATTTACAAGAGCACAAGAAAATAGATCAGCTTTTTCTTGTTCAAGGTATTCGAAAATACAAACAAGAATGTCACTATTGAGATGTGGGTGCATGATTGGTGACGGTTGAGTAATGATCAAGGATGCATCGTGAATCGAGGATGCATCTTGAATTAAGGATGTATCTTGAATCAAGGATGCATCTTGAATCAAGGATGCATCTTGAGTCAAGGATGCATCTTGAGTCAAGGATGCATCTTGAGTCAAGGATGCATCTTGAGTCAAAGGTGTTTCTTGAATCAAGGATGTTTCTTTAATTAAAGAAGCTTCTTGAATCAAGGATGCTTCCTGAGGAGTTGGAGTGTCATTAGAGTGATTAGAGACTTTAAAGTCATTAGTTAGTCTTCTAAAAAGTTTAGTGACTTTGAATTTCATCGTTCATGAAATAAGAAAATGATTGAATTACATAAGTATGTAAATGTATATGTATTAAACGATTTAACGTTAAATTATTTTAAAAATAAATGCGAGTGAGAACCAATCTTATGAAGACCGGATTATATATGTAACGTTCCGACCAAAGACAAATGAATTTACCGTATCTGTACGTACAAGTACGAACGTAAATATTTAATCATGTGATAAAATATAACTAAGTGTAACAAGAAGTTCTCTATTGCTATATTTAATTGCATATTTACATTTCAGTCAATCTTTATACACTTAATATAGTTGAATTAATGAATTAACGAATTTGTAAGTAGATTATCAAGCCTTTCCAAGGATTGATAACACTATAAGTAGTAATAGAATACAAAAAAATAAAGATTATCATATGATGATTTCTATGGTTCAAATGAAAATACCCAAGATTTTCTTTAGCGTAACCTTCTTTCCGAGCATCTCCAATTTTGGTCAAATTTCTAGTATTTATGCGTACGAACCTCGGGCATTCCATAAATTGCCATATTTGTACTTTCGAATCTATTGATCTTCTACAAATCCTTCCATTGGTTTGGATTACTGTGCATGAAAATTCTAAGAATGATTTTATCCAAACCAAGAAAATAATGAAACACATCCAAAATTAGTGTACCTTTGAAAATACATACATATTCATATGACCTTATTTTGAAAATATAAAAACGCTGTACAAACCAAGCTTCAAAAGTACTTATTCGATTCCTCGAAGAATAAGATTCCTTTTATCATGATTTTTAATTGTAATGCTATGACAATGCGAGGTTATTAAGCTATACATGCTAAAGAGAGTATATGTATGCTACGTAATGTAAACTTGGATGATGTATTCTGACAATCTCTTAGCACATGGCATTGCTTAATGTTAACATTAATAGCAATTAAAATAATTAGCATAGAACTTTCTCGTCAAATTATATCACTTCTTCTACAAAACTGCGGAATATCATTAACTTCCTTTTGTAGCGTACTACATTAATAAGTTGTACTATATTGCAGGTTTTCATGTAAAATCCTGCAACACACATTGTTCTTTACACTTCTACATTATGTTTTATTACGCCTTCGACTGCAAATTTTATGTTTTTAATTTAGTAATAAATTTACTTAAATCGATATGTTTCTAACGTTAACTCTAACGATTAATCTAACGTTAACTCTAACGATTAATTTATGTGACTGACGGAATCCAGATACGTCACATTTTATTTTGGTTATTTCTGTATTTAATGAGGTGTTACAAGAATGTTAACAGTCACTTCTGAAACATCACATGTGGGACAACTATTCCATTATTGTAATTATTTGGTGCGGATCACTGCATTAGGTAATGTCATTAGTCTTTCTCCTGATTGTACGTAACAAAGCCAAAAATTTTTTTTCGGTATACTAATACAAATAAACAAAAAAAAAAAACTATTCCTTTCTTTTTTTCGGTAAACTGCCGCTTCGTACTCAATTTCCTATATTGAACGCTTTATCATAACCGTCAGAACAAAAATTAGCTACGAGCAGTTAGGCTCATTTTTTATTATCCACTCTTTGACTTTAAAATAATTTTTCAAAAAAAAATCGATAAAGTAACCTCATTTTTAATATTAAAAAAAAAAAAAAAAAAAAAGAAAAACACTCATTTTTTGACTTGTAGGAAAAAAAATTAATCGATTGGTGATAAATTCTGATATTTTTTATCAGTTACAAGTGTAAGGATTTCTTTATATTATTAATCCTATTTATTTTTTTGTTTCAGCAATCTATTTTTATAATACTTTATATCATATTTACAGAAAGATAAAAGTATGGATTCTTCTCATAATACAACAATTAATTCCTACATAAAGGAAATTGAAGGCTATCTCAATAATAAACGAATACTGTACGAAGCAGAAGGCAGAAGTGAATTTGTTCCATTAATAGATCGCACTGTACAAATGATTAGATTAATTACTTTTAAAAAAGGATAAGAAA